ATCTATCAAATCACAATATTCCATTAAAACTTGGTGCAGTAACATTAGGACACATCGTGCATACATTATTAAGTCGCAGTAAGATCGGATAACTGTTTCAAAAGTTCTTAAACATAGTCAGTATTCCGTTAACCGAGTTTCTGAGCTACTGCATTATTTCGTCATTTTCACGAGAAGTAATTATTCTATAGATTTCTAGCGTGTTTTTCAATAAAATTTCAACACGCTGAAAAGGAAACTTTCTCGCACGAACAGTTGTCGAGATTACAAATAAATTTTTGTCGCTTCGTGACAATTTCCTGTTCTAGCAAATAGTGTCCGTCATAAAAACGTGTTTCATCGTTTATCGTTCAACGCTTTTCGCCCTTCTGTCCATCGTCCATGCGTTGTTCTGTAATAAAAATACTTGAAAACGAAGAACTACTTAAATTAAATCCAGCCCCTCCGCGTGTGTACATTGCAATACAATTTACACGGTCCCGTGCGACCGACGTAACCACATAAGAAGGAATAAAAGACTTGGGGAAGTAATTTCGAACAAATTAAACGGACTGTCCCTTTGTAAAGTACTCCTTCTCCAGTCGACACTAAAAATAGAAAATATAATTAAACTGGTTTTTTCGATATCTAGAAGTTTAAGTAAAAGAAATAGCCGAAGGCTAAGAAATTTCATGAGCTATACTTTTATAAAATAATTATTATATAAGTGATGAAGTGAAGATGGTTTAAATGTCACTATCATACAGAAGAGAATAAATGAAGTATATAAAAGGAAGATGAAGACTCTTCTGTATGCATTGCGAAAAAAAAACAATTTTAAAATAAGAAATCACAATATTGTTAAAAATTGAAAGATATGGTTTCCAATACTATTGTTGATATACCAGATAAAAATTTGCATAATGCTTAAAACCATATAAGGTATCGATCATTATATGTATCGATTTCTAAAGAGAAACGCTTAATGTGTGTGTGTGTGTGTGTGTGTGTGTGTGTGTGTGTGTGTGAGAGAGAGAGAGAGAGAGAGAACTCCCATTCGTGGATTTAATTATTTTTATTTGCGTGTTTCATTCCTTTTGCTCGAGATATTCTATTTTCATAAAAATTAAAAAATTAATGCGAACGTTTGATAAATTTAATCTTTTAAGTGTTAGTAGATCTAAATATGACTACAATTATAATTGCATTAAAAAAAGAAGATTATACTCTTAATTAAGAAGTGATCCATTTTTCAAGATCGTTAAAGTATATTTTATTTTATCTTTTTCCTTACAAGAAAAATATTTGTCATATCGAGGGAATTTGAACTGTAACCGTTCTTTTGTAATGTCTGCAATATTTGTGATTTTAATAACGGAAAATAAATGTATCGACAGTTTGTATCGCGATACTTAAAGCCTCATGAAAGATTTAGCATCGTACAGATATTAAAACCTTTTTCGAATTAATTGGAAAAGCATGTTCTTTTTAATTGATACTCGCGAAACGTATTCAGTTTAGCAGAAAACGATGGAAACTCGATTTATTCTTTTGTATCTCGTTGCCCCCCGGCCTGTAACCGAGCGACGCCTCTCGAAAAGTAATAAAAAATTTTTCCGCAGAATTAATGATCGTCCAGATATGGCTCACTATAGCGGAACCATCCCGGAAACTTTCTAGAAAGATTGCCGTTCTACTAAAGACTCGTAGATTCTTCGGTATCGATATCGTGTTGAAAAGAACAGAAATGTCACAGTGATGCGCACGTTCCTTCAACATGACGACAGACAATGCTGAGCTCAGCGTTCTGTCGCAAACTCGATCGATATGTCGTGAACTGTGTAGACGCGTTGCCTTGTGGCGACGTGATCTCTTCCATCGCCATGCCAATGCCGTGACGATACCGCTATTGTGGCGCAGAGTGTAATGATATCGCTACTCGCTGCGCGGAAGGAGGCCCGATACGTCTTGTTATAAATCTTTCACAAAAGACCTCTGTTTCTTGACGCGAGGAATTATACGTTTCGTGTTAAATTCCCTTTGTTATAGAATATTTCCTTAGAAGGTAGCTGTACTTATTCGGTATATATTTCTCTCGAAGGTAAAGACAACTCTTTGCAATATAAGCCTTTTGTGATTTCGTGAACAAAGTGCGTCTTTCCTATTTGCTTCTTCATCTTCCTTTTATATACCTCATTTATTCTCTTCTGTATTAGAAGACGGCGTCAGTTTTTAATCTCTCATATTCTCTCTCTAGCTTATATAATTAAATGAGATGGTTTAAATTTCTTTATACTGTTTATCATTTTTATGTAAAGCGAATAAAGCGTAATTATGTGCTATGTTTAGCGTTAAACATGCCATGATAATATGAGCTATTATAGCTTTACAACTCACATTCCCGCTAATATTTATCGTGGAAATTTATTTTAAATATCGGAATTTCTATATATTTATGTCAGTTATTCTACATATTTTTCATGAACGGGTACGAAAAGAGGAAACATGCTAAATTATGATAAATGCGTTAAAAAGGTACATTTAGGTGAGCGGATTCAGGTACACTTAAGCGTGAAAACATAGCGAATAATTCACACGCATTTTATCTCCCAACATTTTACCCATCTACTTTTTAAAACCTTTATATCAAAGAATTGCCCTCAAAAATTATATTAGAGTTAAAAATATTACTTCCCCTGGCTTCTCTGTGCTGTTTGCAAAAAACTCTGTGGGCGCACAGAAAAATTCTCAACAGATCTCAGACAATCTCTGAGAACGCATATCCATTGCATGCATACGTGCGAGAACTTCATACAGCTACGGCTCCGTTTCTTATCGTATTTTGAGGTTTCCGTGGTGCGGATAAAAGCTTGCAAAAGACGCTCGATAACGTAACAAACAATATACGATACTTGGAGCGTTCAACGATGAGAAACGAGGACTTTGGGGATTCTTAAAGAGACTCTTTCCATGGCCTTTTTATAAACTAAGGGGAATGCGGAAAAGAATCCCTGTTTAATCGCCACAGATTACGACCGATTCATGGAACTGCGTTTAAACGTTATTGCCACTAAATATCTTTAACAAAACTGTTGTTATCAGCAATAAGAGATGAAAAGATTTATAAACTACTCTGTAATTACTATTATTATATCCTATATTGATATATAGGATGTCACCTTTTAATGTACCGTATTTAAATGGTCAAATTTTGAGAGAGTGTAGGGGATCGATAAATTAAGAAAAAAAGTCCTTTAAAGATATCTTTGTTTTTGCTTCGTTTTGAAGAAAATTTCAAAAAGACAAAACGTAGTTTTTATTTTTGTAGTTATTTATTATTTATTCATTCACATTTATTTATTCTGTAATCACATAATTAAACGGTTGTCATATAATTAAACGGTTACCAGATCCCGAGCACTGTACGGCTGAGGCTCGAAGGTTTGTGCGCTTTTATATTTTTACTGGAGGCCGGCTGTTATTTAAGCATCAAAAAAAAAAAGAAAGAGAAAAAGGTTACAGACTTTCTTTTTGTTATTAATATTTAATCAACATGAAGTGTTAACACAATCGTAGAGACCTTTTTATTATTATTACAAGATTACATACAGTGCGAATATAATCACAGACTTTCTTATTATTTTCCACATAATTTAAATATCCAATTAATAAATATCCCGCGAGCGAAAAACTGAAGATTTTTCCCGCCTGCTGGAGAACTGGAGATTGATACCGAAAACTGGAGTCTCCTGGCAACTATGTAACAGATATTGTTCAAAAAATTCGTTTCTTGCAACAATGCATGCATTGCATCTTGTATACGAACAATTTAATTGTGTTATAGTTAAACACTGATCTAGTCAATGTACACAACAATGGGCGAATTCAAGACGATACAGTGGTATGCTTACCGAGCGATTGAATATGATTGGTTGGATCTATAAGTAACAATCAATTATGCTTATTTGCTTGGCATGCAGGTCACAACCGCTTTGTCAACTTGAATGCGCCCAATAACTCGTCGATTCGAACACTCTTGTGTTTGGAAATTGGCGAGTATATACTCTCGTATTGTTTCTGAAGCATTATACTGAAATCGTATACGAAAACAATAATATTCTATTTTAAAAATAATAATATAAGACGAAAATTACGTTTTTTTGTCTTTTTTGCAATATTTTAAAACGAAGCAAAAACGAGCGTATCTCTAAAGGCCTTTTTTTTTAGTTTATCGATTCCCGAAAGGCCATTTAAATTCGGAACACCCTGTATATTTTATCTATATTCAATACTCAATGCAATATGCCGTTGCTAATATTCGATGGATATTACGATGGATGTTCTTTTAATTTTCCGAGCGCAATGTTTTATATGCAAATATTACGCGAATATATGAAATATAAATAAGCAATTCTGAACCAATTGCAATAAATATGTAATAATCCATATAGCGGCGTTATCTACGTTAAAATAAAAAGCAGCTATTGAATTTTAATATGATAATAGTAATATGTATATCACATATGTTATTATTAAAATGTGGAAATATACGATATATTATTACCTATGATATAAAATAAAAGTTATGATAAAACGAGCTTTTTTAGGAAAAAAAATTTTTAATGCGAATCGAATGTACTCGACTAAGATATTTCGCAAGTTTCAGTTCACGAAATATTGGCTTTAATCTCCACACCAATAACGAGCGAAATATTATTGCTATATTTAAAGTTAGCTTAATGTAAGACGAATAGATTGAAACATTAGGGTCATAATCTAAAAGATTGTAATAATAAGATACTTTACACTCTATTTGATCTGTTTAAGCAATTTAAAAATTATTCCCTTAATGTAAACGAATCTCTATTACTTTATATCTTATATCTGTTGTAACATTTAATTACTTATTTTATATATTGTATTTATTTTATATAAGTTTTACTGATTTCAAAATTTATAAAGCGTTGAATATCTAAAAGTTTAAAAGTTTTAAATAAAAGTATAAATTATAGTAAAAGCATAAATCAGGAATTCAAGATTCCCGGGACTCAAGCTTGCGAGGAATGTTTCAAGAATGTCAAATTCAAAAGCTTCGAGTTCGTAAATATGTTAAGAATCGAATATCTTGGCATGTAACAAATTCAGAATTCTCAGATGCAGATGTAGTCAAAGATCTGGAATTAAAAAAAAAAAAACTAAACGAATGGTAATGCTACCGAGAAACCAATAATGTACTTCATCATCAATCAGCTATTTTTTGCCAACGGGATATTGAAGAGAAATATTACTTAATATAACGGATGTTTCTCGCATACTACGCATTTTATAAAACACTCAAGAAATATGTGGTAAAAAGTATTGATGATAAAGAGACAGAAAGGAAATAAAGTAAATGATTCGATCTAAAGTAACATACACTGTAAAAGAATTTTATTTATTTAATTCCACTATTTTCTGGATGCTTTCCTTTAAAATGCTTCTCTTCTGCTTTTTCCATCTTTGCTCGTCTCTGCCCGACTTTAATGGCACTGGAGCTGACCTGAAATCAAATTGAATATTTTTCTACGTCAGTAAATCTTTTGGTGTTTTTGCTGTCCGCCCTTTGCGACTACGTTCAATCTTCTTTGAATCCTTTCAGTGATCAGAGAGTAAGAGTTCAAGTCTCCAATAAAGCGAGTGTGTATCCACAGAAATATATTGATTAAATTCTATTAATTTTTCGAGTTTTGTAACAAAATGTACAGAAATAAAAGCAAAATAAAATTTAATCATCCAAATTCATTTATTGTTGTGTTTTCAATTTGTTGAAATTAAATGAAAGAGAATCTAAAAGATATCTTATTATTGTCAAAAAGCACTTTATCAATAGAACTTTTTAACGAGCTAACAAAATAAATTTTGTTTAACGGCTTGAAGACAAATATTTTTAATTGTCATTAGATAACTTAATAGTTAAAAATTCAAAAGTATTTAAGAATCTGAATGATCGTCATGTTGCGGCGATTAATAGATATGCATTTCCTAAATAAGTTTCAACAGGATTTGTATTAAAGGAGGAAATACCATGGAATAAATCAAGCTGGGGTTTTGTTCTCGTAGGTAGAATGGGAACGAGGAAAAGAAATGAGAAGTAAGGGAAATAGTAGAACAAAAAAAGAGAGAACACGCGTTACAACTTGGCGTCGAATCAGGACGTTTTCTCGATTTTTTTACCAGTCTCGAGAATAAAAACGCGTCTTGATTAAGACCGTCTTAATTAAGGGCATTTCTCCGCTTGGTTATCTTCACACGCGGCTATTTTATTCAGTAATATTCACTATTCATTAGTTTATTATGAGCTTATTCAAGCAAATATATATGCGGTGTATCATTTTTATTTTATATTTAAAGCAGTATATCGTCTGTCATAATTTTATAATATTTTAACTGTTGACACAGTTACTGTTGCGTCGATTGTATATCTTTAGCTTGCTACAAGTGTAGCATACGCTGGTCATAAAATGTGTATCCTTTTTCTAAATATGAACAGTCGAGTTAGATAAACTCTGAACAAGTTGCGTTAAAATATATAAATATACGAGAGAACCTGTGCGGAACACATATTCTCGTTTCACACATATGTGTAGGTAGTAATATTAACTTTTCTTTTTTTTTTCCTTTATTTCTTTTTATGTTTATATTACATTGTTATGTCTGTAATAAAACGCGACAATTCTTACAGCGGTAATTTTCTCAAACATACAATGTACAGCGACTGCTAAAAGTTTTTAATCAACATGTAACATTTACAGTTATTTTTGTCAATATATTTTTTAAATTTATGTTATACGTAAATAAAATAAATTCTTGTTATTATCAACTGAAACACACAAGTACTAAAATATTAAATACTAGTATACTAGATCGTAAAGATTCTTTATCTGACCAATAAATGTAACAAATATAGGTAAGCAGTTGTATTTATCATTATCAATTACAAGTGATAGGATTCATTTAAAATTTATAGATAATTATAACTTAAAAACGTAAAAATATCCATATCATAATTATCTTAAGTGGCAGTTCTAATTCATTCTAGTTTAACTATATGCGAGCCCTGATAAATATTTACGAGACTGCATAATTTTATTACCGTTCGCCACGATAGCAAGTTTAGTTGCTCTTAATATAATCTGAGATGCCTAGCATACTTGAGAGTTTGTGAACCTGAAATGTTACTTACTGCGTTGGAAAGGGAAGTTACATTTATGAACGGCATGGAACTAACTGAAAAATTACAGATACGGTGGCCCGTGCAACATAAACGACAATGCTTGAAATGGTATCGATTATCCCGCAGCATGACACGAGGAAAATTGGGCGAATAACATTTTTCAGACGGATCATGACCGATAAAGCTCAGCAATTTCTTTATGTAAGAAGAAAACGGCAGCATCATGACCAACGCTGGTGGCGAGAGGTAAAGCAGGAAAAGAGAGTAGCAAGCCGACAGATACGACGAAGTTCGTTTCCTTTATCTACCCAGAGAACTCGGGACAATTTCTCGCGGCACCTCCTTCCGCTGTACCTCGTATATTTATACAAATCCTTAATACTCTCTCTGCAGTCAGTACGCTGCACATACTGAGATACACGTGCAAGGTTCTTATTGTTAGATCCTTGAATTACCGGAACCTTACTCGGAACCTTATACAGTGGATTTCCAAAGAGCTGAGCGTCTGGGGATCACTGAATTTCTGAAGATTAACTTCAGGAAATGTTGTCAAAAGTGAATGGTTGTAAGATTAAAGATAAAGAAAAAATAGTTTTGAGAAAATTAATTCTGATGAAAGACCGTAGAAAAAGTAACGCGAGTTTAGTTCAAAATTTTATTTCAAGATTTTTTACATGAAATAAAAGATTAAGTGAAAAATTACATATATTGCATGAAAATACTAATAAATAATATAACGTGAAAATAAAATACACACATTTATATTTTCTAGCTTTAAGAGATTTTTGAATCTCTCAAATAAATGATAAATAATATACATAATTACTATCAAATAGCTATGAAGATAAATAATAATTGATATAATTAGAAGAGAGAGTATCCGATTGAAATACAATTTCAATTCAAACAATGCAGTTAATTTTTAATTAAATTTATAATTAAATTTTTAATGTTGATGTAATATTGATTAATTTGTATGTTAATTAATATTAACATATAAAAAACATTATAATTGCTTTATATTATACTATAAATTAATCAATTGTATACATATACTAATTAAGTCGTTATTAGAGAATGGAAATCCTTTAATTAAATTTCAGGAGAAAGAATAGACTCGACCTATTTAATGATTTCTCTCTGTCGCTCTATTCCAGGATTCCACACTTATACGCTGAACGAAAGCGCGCACACGGAAAGGGAGGAGGACGAAATCTTGACAGTGAAATACGAGGATGGCAGATGGTCGAAACCGTATTACGACTGTGGGGGTGGCAATATCTGGATGCTGACCTACACCGTACCCTTCTTCGGATACATCAACGATACTTACTTCTTCAAGTGAGTACACATTCTTTTTGTCATTAAGCGTATGATTATCTTACTTTCCTCATTGATAAATTGAAAATGTATACGTGATGATCTTTCGTAACTCTCTTACATTAATAGGAAATACCTGGGCCGATTGATATTGAATTCCGTTTATATATTTATAGGATAGAATAATGGAATAATGGATGGAATAATGGAAAAATTTATCGCAAAATATTCTTTTATAAATTTTTTTATATCATTTAAATCAAACAAATGTTATATTTAATAAAAGAAAAAAATTTGATTCAAGAGGAGGTAAATAAATTTTCGATTGTTTCAAAATTTTATATATATTTTTCTGCTTGAGAAAGAAATCCAAAAGGGACGTATTATTAATTAAAAGGAAAGTTTCTTACTATATGATATATTATATATTGTAATGACAGTCACTTCTTATAATAGAATAATTGAATTTAAATATATGTAGAACTGAAGTATGTTGACCTATATTATATTTGAGACAAGTTTAGCTTGACTTGTGTGAATGTGTAAAACATTCAATTTAAGCCTAATAAAATGCGTGTTATTTACATCTTTCCATATGAAGCAAGTTATATCTATAGCTTATATTTATTTTTTTCCAACAGCATTTTGCTATTCAATTAAAATAATTTTTAAAAATATAATTTTTATCAAACATATCTTCGATTTGTTTTTATTTCTATTACGTTTTTCATTAATTTAATATAGAGGGAATTTACATTGTAATATGCTTTTCCACTATATTTTCGAGGTAAGCTGGTTACAGTGCAGTATGTTCGTATTTCATTTAAGGTAATTGGACCCTATCTATTTGGTAATTGTGGATAATTAAAAACAGTAAATTCAACAAATCTGGTTCTACTAATATAAAATGAATTTTAATCTTGATTCGATTTACTCTTTATTTTTTTTTAATTCTAAAAATTAAACAGTAAGTTAAATCGAGATTAATCTTACATCGGTGGAACTGGGCTTAAGTCGTGCAGATTGTTCGTCTGACTCGATTGCATTAGTTTATTATTTAATTTGTTTATCCTGTTACTGTCAGTAAAACAAAATGCAAAACGTCGTAGTCATGATGTAACGTTTTTTAGATAAGTAATTACTTTTTATAACTACTACTTTTTATTAAAGATGATTATTAATTTCTGTTATTTTACTTCTTTGTATTTACTACTTTACAACACTGTATTTAGTTTATATTTTTGTCATAACGATTTATTTAATATATTCCATTAGAAAAAAATTCTTTGTGAAAGTAGAATCAAAATGACTAAACAGGTATATATTGAATACAAGTATATAATGAATATAAATACGTCAATTGTAATTTTTTTTTGTACTTTTGTGTAGATTATAGTTTTTAATTTATTTGTTAAATTCAATTGTAAAAATCAATAAATAAGTAGATAAATAGAAGTAAGTCAATTTGAAAAATAGATCTTTGTGTATTTCTACAAGTTAATAATTCCTATAATTTAATAAACATGTTAATATATCAATAAATTCATAATTTTATAAAAGTAACAGTTTGTGGATATTTTATTTTTTATTTTTTAATACTTATCATGAAAAAAAGAGACATATATACTTAGGTCATATTAAATTCATGCACATGACCTAAATATTATTATTATTTTTTTATGTTTTACATTTCTTTTCTTATATTCTGTTTCTTTTTCATATTTCTATACTTCTTTCTTTTCTTATGTCTTATATTTAAAAATTACAGACATTTTCAAATATTTACATGGATGCATTGCAGTGAAGATTTTCAGAAAATATAGCGTTTATTATAGGATTGTCCGGAAAGTTCGTGCCGACTAACCTATATAATTTAATAAATGTATAGTAAAATTTAAATTTTCGTTTCAATTTTCCTTCAACATCGGCACGAACTTTCCGGACAACCCAATATATCCAATGACTCAATGCTACTTTTTAAAATTGTACTTACGTAAATATTTAAACATATCTTATATTTTTTAATGTTCAGAAAAATTTTGTTTGAAATTTACCATCAGTTTTCAATTTTAAATCCAGAAAAAATTTCAAAGTTTAGATAGGATATATATCAGTTTCGGTTATTTTATTTAGTCCTTCTTCAAAGAAATTATATACTATACGTTAGATAGAATTATTTTTAGCAAAAAAAAAAATGAAAATGTAGAAAAAGAGTCTCTCTATCATAATAATTATAATAACAGTTTAATTATAATAATTAGTTGTTTAAAAAGTTGAATGCCGAAATTGTGAAAACTGTACCAACGAATAGTTTCGCCTATCATTTACATTTTGTTTACTGGACTATCACTTTCAACGATTTCAAATTTTAATTACACATAACGTTGAAATCGAATCTGTTTACCGAACATAATGAAAAATTTCCATGCTTAATCTATCGTGCAAAATACTCGAAATATAAATATAGATGGGAATTTATATAATGTAATCAGATTGAATGAAATGAATAATTTCAAATCTTCATTATTGGAATATGGCAGAATACGGTCGATTCTATTATCGAAATACGGCAACTCATCAATTTTTAACTACGTCGAAAAATATGAATAGATGAAAATTTAAGAGAACGCTGCGTAATGTAAGTGCCACTTACATTATGAACGTACACACATTACTATTCACAGATTAAGGACAGCCTGTGTCATTCGAGAACTTGTCATTTTCCGTGAGCATATTTGAATCTAAGTTTTTGAATTGAAAAACCTTGGAATGTACAAGGATTCTAGAAACTTCTGGGAACTTGGAAGAATTTCAAAAATTCAAGTGTCAAAGTGTAGAATTAAAGGATTTTAGAATGCGATATCGTACAATATTTTTATTCGTAACAATATATATAAATCGTAACATTGTCTGAAAATGTAGCGCCGAACTCTTTCAACAGCAAATTTATGCTGATATAAAGGATTGGCCTTTGGATTTATTTAATAATAAAATACTTTTCCCTCAGAGCACTGGAATTATATTACATAGAAAGAAGTAATTAACTGTAACAACAGTAATTAACATTTTCCTTTATCAATTTGGTTATGTAAAAATTCAATTTTCATAAAAATTTCTTTTCTCTTATAGCGATATTCGTTTCAAGTTGTAGTATCACAATTCTTTCTATCGCTTTTCATCTGAAAACCGCTTTTATATATCCAATGTGTCAATTTGATCGTAATTACAACGTAAATTTGATCAGTAGATTGGTACCATTTGCGTAATAAAACTGTCGACAATATAAAAAATAATGTGAAGGATCGTATAATAATCACGTTGAATTTTTTTAATGATGTTTTCAATTTAAGGATCGGATAATATTCAGTTACATTCCTCGATGTTCCACTTTCCGCAAAAATTATATAAAGATATCATTTCCTGAGCGCGCTTCATAATAGCAATGTCTTTTTCGTTAATGAATCTGAAAAGAATAAAGAAAAGAAAAATAGGATAAATGAAGAAAATCTAGCGATACCCGATATTTTAAACATAATAAGTTCTCGAGGGGGATTGCACGATATATGTACGATATATGTTCTTCAAACTAACTACCTAGATATTGAGTAACTTGACAATTCCGATTATGATTTTCTTAAGCAAACTTAAAGTCAAGTCAGTTTTCTCGAAAAGGCAATTATTCCGTATTTAAGTTATTTATAAAAATAATAAAAATTTAATGTCTTGATTGAAAACGTTCTTTTTTAGTCAATTTTAAGATAGAGTTTATTGCGAATAAACAATGCAAATTAATTTAATTATCTTTATATTTTTTTAATGTAAATTCTATGTATGTTGTCTATTTCACAACCACTGGTGACTAACTAATTTTTAGCCAATGTATGAATAGTAACACGAAGTTTAGATGTACAGGAATAAATAAATAAGCGTAATGTATTTCCCATGAGAAAGAATTACATATTATATTTATCGAAGAAAAGACAAGGAAAAAGAGTTTTTCATAATATATGAAAACTGTTATAAGCAGAAAACAGAAATAGAGTTTTATCGAGATTTGTTATAAACTGTTTATATACTATTTCTATTTTATTTGTTTATCAATGTAGAGCTTGTGGAATGAAATGACCAGAGTGCCATCAAACCAGTTTATTGTACGTTATATTTATTATTCCGCTGTATCGCGTCGCATTGTACTTATAGCTGATAAAGAAGTAGAGAAGCTTACGTCTTTTCTCCTATGAAAGTGCACTTTCTAAGGAAAAGCGCCTTATGGATTTTCTATTTTTATCTCTTTTTTTCTCCTTGCCTAATATCACAAAATTCTTTATTCTCTAATATCAAACAAAATTATGATAACATTATTAAATTTGTCGTCAATTAAATTTGTAGTCAAGTAAATTAAATTCTTTGAAAAATTAACTGTGTACGTTTACACGTTGTGTAAAATCAATAAAAGAAGGAAATTAAAATTAACAAAATAATTGTGCGTTGATATTAAATTTTATAAAAAAAAAAAGATAGCTGCAATATAATGTAGTTAGAATAATAATATATGTATAAATAATATAATAATAAAAGAATCAACCGATATGTGAACAACACAAATAAGTAAAGAAAGCCTTATTTGGTCAAAATAGATCTTGGTATCTAATAATATTTAAAATGATATAATTTTTAATATTGTATATAAATAATTGAAAAATTTACTGCAACAATAAACTAACCTACGCATAAAAATTAAATAAATGAACTTCAAAGTTAAAGTGAGACAAATATCAATATTATACTTTCGGTAATACTATTTGTGTTAGCCCTAGGATATTGATTTTTTCTCATCATTCTCTAACTTTAGAGTTCCATTTACTCCGTTTTAACAAAATAGATTATACAAAATATAGAGAATTAGACCACTGATGTAATAAATCCTACGATTATAAAAATTATTAGAATCAAACTTCTTAAGAATTGATATATATTGGCTACAAGCGTAAGTTTTAAAGTTAATATGAGCACAGAAACAG